AATCTACATGGAAAACTCAGTTCGTAAAAACCGCTTTTGTGTTTAGTTTGTTGTTCTTCCCCTGCACCTCCAATTAGCACGGATGGCTACGAACGATGCAGAAGAAGTTCAACAAATATACGTACACATACATACATACATGCAGAGACGCATCTCGTATCTGCACCGGTATGGCCTGCGCTGTGGACAGCTCCTTACACATCCCTGCTGATCCGCGGACTTTGCTCCTCTTATCAGAGAAGAGCGAATAAAAGTATGAATCTTCGACGACTTCCAGATTACGTCCCTTCTTAATCACCAGCAAACACAATCAATACGCCCTGCTCGGTAAATGCCTCCCCACGCCGTCGCCACCTCTCACGGTGCTGCGATGTGCAATACACCGAGCGCCTGCACGCAAGACGACGATTTCAGCACTCCACCCTCTACGGCGGACTTCCTCTCGGCAGATTCCGGTCAAGTCGCTCTTCTTGACCACCGGCCATCATCCCTACTGGCCATGACGAGTCGCGCCCAAGGCCACTTCGTTTTTTACTAGTCAACATGTTGCATAGGTAGTCCCATCGATGAGTTTCTCTTCCCACAATTCCAAGCGTGAACCTCGCCCCTTGCTTCTTTGCGCACCAGTGCATTATGACGCAACGTGATTTTCCACGAGTGGTGGCATTCTATTGGTGGTGTGATGATGCAAAATAGACGCAAAAAACACATGAACGCGAGCTGTTGTGACCGCCCTCTGGAATGTAACAAGACAAAACAGGGTGATTGCAGACGAACACACGAGACAGCCTCACGTTACGTGTTACAACACTGCTACAACAACGCTGGAGGTCGCCATGGAATTCGATGAATCGTCACGTTTCCTTGATAATGTTTCAATTCGGGCGTCGATTGTGCTTTTTTTCCTCATTCTCACCACCTTAGGCGTCTTTGCTCCTCGTTTATTTACCGTCTCGTTTGTATTATATTGGTTTCTCGTGTTGTGTTTTTTTTTGTCCCGTTTAATCCGCCGAATTCACCTAACCGTGACACGGGCACGTACGAATTGCATACAGTTTGCACATGCCGTGAGAAATGGATCAATCGGCGTGTGCACAACGACTCGACGCGCGTTAAACGGTCGATTCTAGGAAGGTGACAAGCCGCGTGGCTCTGCAGCTTGACATGCTGACTGGCGGCTGTCGATGAGCGAGAGACCCTGAATGACAAAGTGGCACACGTGTACAAGCTGCAGCTTTTGCCGAGTGGCAAAGGACCGTGAGACGGCAATCGTGGGATAAAGGAAAGGTTTGCGACGGCGCGGGGTTTCACCCACGTTGCTGATGAAGACGATGACGCAGTGGGCTGGTCAACACATTGTCTTAGGAGCCCTTTTAAAAGGAGGGACTTTATTCCGGGTTGTGTGTGGGGCAGGCAGCAGTGCTCCGTTTATAAACTATTGCGGGGGGAGGGGGGGGGGGCACAAGCTTGGAATCCAGTACGGTCTGTGCCATTACCGCTGAGCACCATTTACACGAGTTGGCAAGAACACCCAGCCAGTTGCTGCCACTGCCTTTATAAATAACCAAGATGCATTAAGGGCCATTAAAATCAACCCGAACGAATTCACAGTCAATCTCAATCGACGGCCTGAAAAGTGAACCAAATCATATGGCTCTATACAGTGTAGGTTGTATTACAGATTCGTTTGCAGCCCTTTGTCAAGCCACTGCTGGGTAAAGGCGTCTCTCCACGCCACGTCGGTCATTTGGGTTGCATAACGCATACTTCACCAATGCTGGTCAGTTCAAGTTGGAGAACGCAGCAGAACTGGTGAAGATATCACTCGCCACCGATGTTAGCCATGATTGGGAATCGGAATTAAGGTGGCAGGGAGTTTATAGCGCAGTGCGCTAATCACAGTGCCACAACCACTTCTATACATACATATAATCAAATGAAAAATGTCCATATGAGCGTTTGGGTCCATAGTGGAATGAGCCAACCACTGCAACCACCACTAACCACTGTGCCACTACTCCCTCTGATGCCGCTCCAAAGGTGTGCGTATAAGACAAAAATATCCCTTATAGCCTTAACAGATTGTTCGGGGAGCACCTGTGAAGGCCAGCATGCCACACGAGGAAGTGGGTGGCCAGCAACACGTTCAGCCACCTTTGCCTTCCTTGTGGCGATGTTTAAACATCACACCAGGTACTCATCTGAGACCGAGTCGACCTGGGGGAGTGCCCAGGACTGGTTCAGATAATCATCACTGGTATTGGTGGCCGTGAACGCGAATCTAACTCGGGTAGCCGGGGGTAGCACTAACCACACCAATTAAATCGATTGCCGTGTAACGTTATCTGGTTGTATTTTCAGCTCAAAAATATAAAACGTGCACATTTGAATTGACTGCATAATGATAAAGCGGTCCATCGTCAACAACCGGCATTTCCGACACACAAATAAAACATTGTTGCTGGTGCTGCGACGGTAACAGCCGGCGCATGGTGGGGCCACGTGGCCTCGCTTTGGAATGTTCTACGGCACTCTCGCCCCCGCTCCTATTGCCACCCTCGTTTTCTTGTTTTCCCCATGGCAGCACCGCTCCGGGGGGGGGGGGGGGGGGGGGGGGGGGTTGGGGGAGGGTTTCAGGCTTAAGGCCACAATCTATATCGGGCCATGGCGGCGATGTAACGGCGGCGACTTAGCGACGTGCCGGCGCACCTTCCCGCACTGCAGCTTCGGCGGCTCGCTCAGCCCCGACGCCGTCTGCAAAGAGAATCGGGCCATTTTGACGGATTTTGCCAGATTGTGCCGGATTGTCAAAAGTCTCCACGACAACAACTTGAACTGGCGGGAAAAGTGAAATAAAAACAACAAAAAGGGCCCTTCAATGACATTTTTGGGAACAAGGAAATGTTTGTTAACATATTTTCCACACTTTCTAACTAAGGTTGGAAGGCGTTTGTGCATTAGCTCTGTCCGTCCATCCGAAAGGGGGGGGGGGTATGATAACTCATGTAAATGTTATCTGACATGAACCAACAGTGAGGATAAAGTTGTACAGTAAAACCTTGGATTGCGAGTGACTTGTTCTGCGAGTGTTTTGCAAGACGAGCAAATTTTTTTAAATAAATATTAATTTGATAAACGAGCGAGGTCTTGCAATACGAGCAACACGTATACACTCTGTCTGCCGAGTGGCACGTGATCACAACTGATATACCAGTGCTTTGATATGCGAGCGCTTTGGATTACAAACACGTTTCCGGAACGAATCATGCTCGCAATCCAAGGTTTTACTATATTGCTATTAAGGACTCTTGAAAATTGGCCGCATTGATCAAAGGATTGAGCGAAACTTGGAGACAACCAGTGCTAAAAGGCCCCTGCCTAGGCATCCCTGCCCGACCAGCAAAGGCGCGGCACCCTCCCTGGAAGAACAGCTAAACGAGCTCCACCCCGCCTCGGCCCCCACCAGCCAGTAGTAAACAAGCCGACAGCACGAGGGATGACAGCACAATATTTGCCATGTGGGTGTCATTGGCCACTTTTAGCCACAATCGTGCTGGGCTCACATTCACAAAGCATCCAAGAAGTTGCTTATGAAACGAATTGTAACTTACCGACCAGGTCAGGAACTTGCTGACCTGTTCAGTAACTTACACTGGTAACTTCTACTGTCAGCTCGTCGATCCATGACAATGGGGGAACTCTCGTAGAGATGATCCAATACGGGCCAAACTGCAGGAGGTAGTTGTCTTGCTGTCAGGGACCTACTCTACTGAAAACAGACCGGATTGATCCAAAGGGGGCCCAAAGCCAGAGCAGAAAGCATTTTGTTGCAAATAAGCAAAATACATTTTTGCCCCAACAGCTGTCCGTCCGTCGACTTCCATGCTGCCAGTCAAGTAATTATATTCTTGTGGTGGCAAGCGCGAGGTATTCCATGCGTAGGCATTATTTCCTCCCCCCCCCCCTCCCGACTTATTTCCTTTGCAAGACATGTTTTGTTTGTACTTTGGGAGAAACTCCCGAGCCCCCACATGTCGGCGGGAAACTTTGCATCAACGCTGGAGTAGTTGCGTGCGTACGTGCGAACGTGCGTGTATGTACACACGAACGTGCGTGTATGTACACACGAACGTGCGTGTATGTAGACACGAACGTGCGTGTATGTACACACGAACGTGCGAACGTGCGTATATGTACACACGAACGTACGCGCACACGTGCGTAGTTCTACGGGGCTCGCAGGGATCACTCGCAGGCCCTCTCTGCGTCTCGAGGATTGATGGCCGCCACTGTCGCGGTGTCTGAACAATGTCATCCGTGACCCACACGAAACCGGGAGAGCAGACCTTTGCAAGCGACCCAATGTAGAAGCGTTTACATTGGGTCGTTTGAGCTTGGAGCACTGTAAGCATTGTGAAGGCGTTTTAATTGCTATATCGTAAATATTTACAGCCTTTTGTCAATATACTGCTGCACGAGGGCCTCACCATGCTCTGCGGGTCATCAATGTTGTGTGACCATACTTCACCGCAACAGGCCTTCTGTATATCACAGAGGCCTAAGTTAGTTGTTCCTGTGTAAATAACGATCATTAATATTATTCACAGCCTTTGTCAAATCGGGTTGTTTGACCATACTTCACCATGTGGATTAGTAGGGGGGGTGGTGGGGGAACACCCAGGACCCATTCAGATGTCACTCGCCACTGATTTTAGCCATGCCCGGGAACGGAACTTCAGGTGCCAGCTTCATAGGGCAGTGCGCTAACCACTGCACCACCCCTCCACCCCCTCTTCCTGCTTATATTTTACGACCGATCATATTTTTGCTCAATGTAAAGACTCACAATGCAAATATAAGCTTCGGGGTGCATGTGAAAAGAAACGCAACTGGTTTCTCGTCGTTGCGGACACCAAAAGAACGTGCAGCATTTGTGGATTAAATCTGTACAGAGAGAGAGAGCGACTAACTCGGAAACCGGTTGTGTGACTATTACTCACCGACTATGTTGGAGTTCACCCGGAGCAGACCTTGGAGAGTTCACTGTGCCATCCCCCTTCGGTCACTCGGGAAAAGCCCTACGCAACGGGGAACGTGGCAGAAGCATACAAGTCTCTCGCTGCACTGTACGATCACTGCGTGCGCTTACAGAGGCTGCAAAAATCACACACGCACGCGCAAAGTGAAGGATGTGATGGCGGTGTAAATGGTAAATATTTCACACGTACACAGGCTGCAGTCACGAGTTTATAAGCGCGACGCAAGCGGTTAACGTTTGTGCGCGAGCACAACGATTCTCTCCCGAGATTGTTCCCTGTGCGACTTGGTGAGAGAGTCAAGGTCAAGGAGTCATCGGCGTCGGGCGATGCGATTTGCTCTTCGCCGCAGAAAAGCTCAACAAACACAATTTGTAGGCAACGATTAAAATCGCAGCCTTATCGCACAGCAGATTCAATGATGTGAGGTTTGCGATACAATAAAAAAATTAATGCCCTCGTCATTATCATCTCGTTGGTACAGTTTTGTTGGGTTCAATGTTCCAAACGTGCCAGATGATTTACAAATCAGTTTTTATTCAAATCACAGTTGCTGGTATATACGCGCAAAGGCCCACAATGCAAAGAGGCCAGCGACCAACAGCACCGCCAATGTTGTGATGAAAAAGAGGAACGCGTTTATTGATTTGAGGAAGGTTATTATAAGAGCTTGGGAAAAATAAACGATGAGAGGGAATTCCAGTTCAGTAGTGAAAGGGAAGAAGCAGCTCACAAAGAATAATTAATCATCGAATCATACACCCAAGATGCATTAATCATTAATACTTGAATCACGCATGCAAGATTCCTGAGCAGCAGCATCAATAGAATTGACGAATTGGATGCTCTCGTTCTAAGCCTATCAGATTCCGTTGTTCCACACCTATCAGACTGCATGATACTGTGTACACCCCCCCTTCTCCCTTAGGGGCCGTCCATAAATGACGTCACGCGATTTTGGACGATTTTTAACCCCCCCCCCCTCGTCACAAAGCGTCACAAAAAGTCAGACCCCCCCTCAAATATGACGTCACATAGCTCTGCCCCCCCCCCAAACCATATTTCAATTTTGAAAATAAAACATGCTTCAAATCGCTTTAAACTATTGTCATTGAAGTGCGTATTTATTGTGGCACTGCACTCTGATGTTGTAGGAGAAGTAATTGATTAAAAAGTCTATTTAATTAAATAGAACGTGTTGTCTATATTTAAAGTTACGCATTTTGATGTGACGTCACATTTCTCAAACCCCCCCCCCCTCATCACACATCGTCACAAATGTCTGACCCCCCCCCCCCCAGGTGCATGACGTCATTTATGGACGGCCCCTTACCAACAATCCACTTGTGAATCAAAATGGCCTCGCCATACCATATTGGTTACGGGGAGTTTAACACGTAGGCTTTCGTGACCAATATTATCCATAAGAGGTTTTTTTGGGTTAGATCCAAACGTCGCAATCGAATTGTAAATGTTGTGGGTGGGTTTACTCTCCAACACGCCGGTGTGCTGAACTAGTAACGAATTGTCATGTTATGTTTACGTGACAAACCTTACTAATTGGCCGTCCCAGGTAGTGGCGGGCTTAACGACACATTTATATTTACGCGATCTAACCCAAAAAAACCTCTATTATGGGTCACGGGGAGTTGTTTGACCGTACTTCACGCTGGTCATTGCGGGTTGGTGATAATGGGGCCCAGCAGCACTGGTTCAGAATTACTCGCCACTGATGTTAACCATGGGCAGGAATAAAACACAGCTCACCAGGTTTCTTAGTTCCAAGCGTTAACCACTGCACCACCATATTGCATCATGTCAACGTCAATAAAGCTGATATTGCCACACTACCCCATCACTTCAATTCTTCTGCGAGGCCCGGCATCCCTTAAAAAATTGTCGCAGATACGTACTTGCCGTACTTGCCATCTTTTAACATCAACCGTTATGGGCTTTCTCCCCGCCCAAATTCCCAAGAAATCGCCGCCGGCTAGGATGACGACAGCATTACTTGGCACGATGAAGGGTAAGCCGCTGTCCTTGGGCACGGAACCAAATCGGCCCGTCGCCTCCTGCGCCGCTCCGATTGGACCTTCACGTGCCGCTGAGTCGCCGTTTTCTGAGGCCGCAATGTTAATGAGAAAAACGCGAGCACGTTCCGGGCGCCCGGCGAACTCGCCGTAAAACACGCGCGCCCGGCGACGTGCCGCAGCGATCGGTCTCCCACCGTCCACTTCCGCCCACCCCCCCCACACTCCCCCCACGGCTTAATTGCACCTTTAGCAAAAGCGTCGCGGTGTGCAATCGATCATTTTACACCCAGTAGCTTAATACTCCCCAGTGCTAAACTGGGAAGAGCGCTTCACACCGTTTCACGACTCACCCGGGCGACGAGGGCAAGGATTATTGCAGGCTGGACCTGCACTCCAGAGGCCACCGGTTCCATTTCAATGTCTACCCTGCCACTACTTGCTCAAGCAATGGGCTTTCACTCGAGGAAGCTCGAGGGAGAACCCCACGAAGGAGGATGTTTAGGCCGACTTTTCCACGACGTCTGGTAAAAGATTTGGCGCGCGCAAACTTTACCCCACCACCCGCAACCTGCCGACCAACCCGCTCTGTAGTGGAGCCATTTATACCGCTGGCTGGATAGAGGTGGCGGTGTGGCGGTGGGGGGGGGGGGCGAAGCAATCGTTGTTTCAATTGCCGCGCCGGGAGGTTGGATCGAACCGGCGACCTTTACATTGCAAGTCGGGCATGCGAACCGTCGTCACACCACGGCAGCATCTCGCACTGGAATGACCCCTCCTCAGTTGACCCTGCCCCCGTTGGGCCTAAACGGCGTGCGACGGGCATCGTTTCCACGGCAGGTGTAAAAGACAAACCCGTTACTTATTCATCGGCCCTGTGTCGTCGCACGAGGCGGGCACGAGTTGGGCTCAGCCACTTGGATAACGCGGCGAATTGACAATGGGCAAGAGTGCGGGGCACAGCCGGCGACACAAAAGGAAGAGCACAAAACAACACGGGAGCGGTGCAAACGGGCGTACGCAGTTCGCACTGTTGTGTTCGCCACTGCGGGCCACAACAAAAATAGAAAGAGCAACGTGCACAGGTGCGCTCACAAACAGCAGGATGGCGCAACTCCCAACGTGCTGCCGTTTGTGAGCGCACCGTTCTTTGTGCGTTGTTTTTTTTTATATTTTGTTTTCGGCCGGCATGCAATTTCCTGTTTTGATGGGTTTTTTTCCCTTCATTTTTACAGAACGTGATGGGTTTGACTCAAAATAATAACACTTACTACTGTCCGTTTACACCCAGGACAGCCTCACCGAGTGTCAAGGCTCTTGTTCTGGAGGCTCCCGTCACATCGGGATGTTTTGCCAACACCACCGATGTATGAATGTTGAGCTTCTTTCGCACCGTACAGAGCCAATCGTGCTAATCAGAGCTGCGATTTTATCGGACGTTCTGTACACTGCTGGATCAGGGCTCTTTCCCACGCCATGCTCGTGAATCTGGACACAGACTGGCAAGTTTCTCTTCGTACATCCTTACGTAAGAGAGTATGCAAATGGGCACGATTTAATTCTGGGCATGTGTTGGCTTGCAAACATATCCACGAATGGCTTGCCAAATTGCCTGCACTCCAGCGGATGTGTGGCCTAATTTCAATATTCAGATGATTTTCAAAAGCCAGGTGAGTGCCCCGTCACCACCGAGCCTGTGACGTGTCATTTGTTTATTTGATTATTTACACTGTGCTCCTTATTGGAAAACCGCAAAGCATAGATTACACGGTCAAATGCAGTGGCGGATTAAGCTAGTGCGGGGGCCTATAGCATATGTTATAAAGGGGCCCTAAATAAAATAAAATATGAACAAGTAAATATTAAAAACACAATTTCCTTATTTGCATAGCAAAGTAATTGTATTTTTTCATTTGCTATACAGCCAGATAATACGACAAATCGCGAACCTTAAACACCCAGTCGTTCATAAAAGTTGACGGCGGTAGAGTACTGTAGTAATAGAGCAAGTGCAGAATCACTGAACCGGAATTGATAGCTTGAAAGCATTTAGCGCGGGGCCCTTGAAAGTGCGGGGCCCCTAGTATATGCTACTTTTGCTACTAGGATAATCCGGCACTGCAGACAACTACCCCAACCACAACGCCAATCACTGCCCCTATCACCCCTATCACTACTCCTACCACTACCAAACCCCTATCACTACCCCCATCACTAACCCAACCCCTATCACTACCCCCATCACTAACTCAACCCCCATCGGTCACTGGGGGGTTTGTGCGATCACATGGGGGTGGGTTTGTAAGATCACACTGGGTGGGTTTGTACGATCACACTGGGGGGGGGGGGGGGTTTGTAAGATCACACTGGGGGGGTTTGCACGATCACACTGGGGGGGGTTTGTACGATCACAATGGGGGGGGGGGGGGGTTTGTACGATCACACTGGAGGGGTTTGCACGATCACACTGGGGGGGGTTTGCACGATCACACTGGGGGGGGTTTGTACGATCACACTGGGGGGGGGTTTGTACGATCACACTGGGGGGGGTTTGTACGATCACACTGGAGGGGTTTGCACGATCACACTGGGGGGGGTTTGTACGATCACACTGGGGGGGGGTTGTGCGATCAGATTGGGGGGGTTTGTACGATCACACTGGAGGGGGTTTGTACGATCACACTGGGGGGGGGGTTTGTACGATCACACTGGGGGGGGTTTGTATGATCACACTGGGGGGGGGGGGGGGGGTTTGTGCGATCAGATTGGGGGGTTTGTACGATCACAATGGGGGGTTTGTATGATCACACTGGGGGGGGGGGTTTGTATGATCACACTGGGGGGGTTTTGTACGATCACACTGGGGGGGTTTTGTACGATCACACTGGGGGGGGGGGTTTGTACGATCACACTGGGGGGGGGGGGGGGGTTTGTACGATCACATTGGGGGGGGGGTTTGTACGATCACACTGGGGGGGGGGGGGGGTTTGTGCGATCAGATTGGGGGGTTTT